ATAATAATCATATTATCTTACTAACAAAAAAGGCTTCTTCTAATGCATTTGAAATATTGGGCTTTGTTCACGCGTTTGTTAACACTTACTTATTCTGTTCACACGTTCACAATTTCTCATAAAAATTCATTAGTGTCTGTTATCGTATTGGATTTGATATTAATATTTATAATAGTTTCACGCACACACGCACACATACATACATACACACACCCTCAGAGTAAGCCTATGCTTGAAACTCGGTTTACCTACTGTGTCGGTCGGTGTATAAATAAATGTTTATGTGGGTTTGATGTTGTCGTGTTGAATCATCATGGTCTGTCATGTAGATTGGGGTCTGGCAGACAGACACGTCACTCAGCTATGAATGACTATTTATGTAGACTTTTTCGAACCTGCAGTCCTGATTTCCGACAGTAACAACAGACCAGATGGTCTGGTGGTCGTTGTTTATCGTGGGATGTAACATGCCACCACACGCTTGCAGAAAGATATATTGGTTACACTTCGGTGGAGCCCGGATCCGCCGCAATAAAAGCTGTTGATTTAAAAAATAACAAATACAAAGGATTAAATGATAATACAAAAATATTTACGCCAATGTGTATCGAAACGTTTGGACCCATTGATAGAGAAACACAATTTTTTATTGATAGCATTAGTTCTAGAATTGTAGAAATTTCCGGCGATAAACAATATCAAAGGATAAACAATATATTAAACAAAATATATCTTTATTGTTGCACAAATTTAATGCTTTCTGTATTTTAGAAAATATTCCCAAATGCCCTTCTGTGCGAGACCCATAAACATTAAATAGCGAGCAGGGGCAAAATGATAGTTTTTATGACTGTTGTTTTTAACCATGGGCTCGTACACACACACACACACACACACACACACACACACACACACACACACACACACACACATATATATATATATATATATGCACACGCACGTATACAAACAAATACCCACACACACATACATTAACAAAAGTTAAGTATCAATGTCATATCATGTCATCATCATATTTTTCATCGTAACCGTTCATGTTGCTCTAATTTATCATTTTATTATTATCATTCCATTTCATCATCATCATCTACTCTATAGTTTATCATTTTGAGTTTATTTTATCATCATTTACACCAGCTTAACTATTACTGTTATCACCAATGACGTCATCGCCAACGTCATTCTGGACATCATTACTTTATCATCGTCATAATCGATAAACCAGAAATAAAGACTAATCAATAAATTTTTAATGCAACAATATTCTTCGAGTTCCGTCTTTTATTGCTTCTAGTAGTGGCCAGTGATGGTGTCAAACGAAATTTGCAATCAACTTCATCATTTTCATCAACATTGCATTTGTTATGACATCATTTTCATAGTCATTTGGTTTATGCATCATTTTCTTAATTTCACGGATCATGTAACAAATTAAAGTTGATCTTTTTTATAATAATTCTCAACATGATTTAGTAGAACTATCGCCATTATCGTCATCATCATTATTGTTCATCATCATCGTTATCATTTTCGATTCATCATTTTCATCAGCTAACCAACACCACCACAAACTCATTCATCTTGTGGTAATTTTTCCACCTTAATCCTAAACAAATCATACCACACCAGGTCAGCTGGACTACGAGACTTCAACATTTCACAGGTTTGTGGTGCAGGCGGTAGACGGCGGACAGCCACCTTTGACGTCAGAGACGTACGTCACGGTCATCATCAGTGACGTCAACGATAACGCCCCGCAAATAACCGTCAACCTGCTATCAGATTCATCGGACGCCAACCGCTCGGGTTCGAAAACGCAGCATTACCAGCACGATAGTCGCTATCATCATCATGATTACCAGCACCATCATCATCATAACGTTGATGGTGATGACGATGATGATGATGATGGTGAAAGTGAACAGCAGCAGCAACGTGAACATAATCAACATCATCGTCCTAATCACCTTCACAATCAGCATGATCATCGTCACCGCCATCCTCACCATCCTCATCGTTCTCATCTTCATCATCCTCATCATCTTCATCTTCCTTCTTCCTTCAATGACTCTTCTGAGTACCGTGGATTTGCGAGGAAAGATAATAACGCGCCTGCTCACTATTACAACAACAACAACAATAAACACGATAACGATTATAACAACAAAAGCAATAACAATAAGGATGATAGAGACAAATATGATAATAACAAGGCAAGTGCCATCATTAATCAACTTCCACCAAAATATGCCATCCCAGAAGCATCTTCAAAACCATCTTTGTCATCGTCTCCATATAAGCCATCCTCATCATCGTCTTCGTCACCGTCACCGTCATCTTCCTCATCACCATCAGCCAGCATTGTTAAAATTCCGGAAAATCTTCCATCCGGAAGTTTCATAAGTCACGTGGTGGTCAACGACTTGGACAGTGGCTTGAACGGTCAGTTCAGGTGTTTTCTTGAAAGCGAAGATTTTGTTTTGAAATCTCTATCATTACCGTCACCAGTTCTGACGTCATTAATATCATCATCATCTTCTTCATCGCCGTTGTTATCAGCATCGTTAACGTCATCATCATCCGGTCAAAAATCTGGCAGAGGTGACTATCAGTTAGTTACGGGTAGTGAGTTGGACAGAGAACGAATCGATCGATTCGAACTTGCCCTGTCCTGCAGCGATAGAGGAGAGCCTTCACTGACCACCCGACATGACGTAGTCGTCGAGGTGGCCGACGTTAATGACGTCACACCAAAATTCACGCGAGCATCGTACAAGATGGAGGTTGATGAAGATGATGATCTGTTCCCGGTCATGCTGCTGCAAGTGAAGGCTGTAGATGCAGACGTTGGGCTGAATGGAATGATTAGATACTATGTGCTAGACGATGATGGGGCTGTTATTGATGATGAGGATGATGGTGATGATGGTGACGATGATGACGAAGAAGATGATGGTGATGATGGTGGTGGCAATGATAACTTCATTAGTGAAGCTAATGAAATGGACGACGGTGGCGATGAAAATGATGAGTTGAAAAATATCAGAGATGATGAAATGCTTAATGATGTTGTTGGCAATGATGATGAGGTGATGAAAAAAAACTCAGCAGGAAATATAAATCGCCAAAAATTTACGAGACCCAGTAGGAGAGATGGCGCTAAACATTTCTCGAAAGGGGAAAAGTTTTCAATTTACGCTAACAACAACAACAACAACATCGGAATAAACAGTTTTAACCTTCAAAATAATAACAGTAAAAACAACAACAACAACAACAATCTTAACTTCAACAAACTCAGCAGCAGCAGCAACAACATAACTGCGAACTTCAACAAAACTGAAAACGCAGTAGTGAATAAAAAATTAGAAAACAAATTCATTTCGAATAAAACCGCTCTTGACAATTACGAAAATAATAACTATAACAAAAACAATAACAACAATAACAATAATAACAATAATAAAAATAACAAATGGAAAAACCCATTATTTAAAGTTGATAGCGAAAGTGGATGGTTATCATCACGCCATCCATTAGACAGGGAACGTGATGATGATGATGATGACGACGACGATGATAATGATAACAACAACAAAAATAATAATAAAAACGATAATAATAATAATAGAGATGATGATAGCAAGCATTACTATATAAAGGTGAGTAAATGAGTGCTTTTGTTGATGAATTTTAATTCGATTTCAGGCTTTCGGCCGACGATACATTAGCGGGTTTTTTTAATGAGATGATGATGTTATGTTATTGATGCAATGATATATATGTGATAACGTGACTACGTGATGATGTAATAAAATTGGTGTATGTATGACTACAATATGGTGTTAATTTTATAATGTAATATTACAATGATCCGATGATGTCAGAGATTACGTTGGGGCGATGAGGACAAAATAGAAACTGACTAAGCCGATGATAATGTTGTAGTGAAAATGATGACGACTTCATCACCAGCACCACCAAAGAATAATCACAATTGTCTGGCCAGCCAGCATAGTAATTAAAACCTTAGTCACATTCTGTAATATCGTCCATGAATTATTGATCGAAAACTGCATAGAAACATACTCAAAAAGTTGTGGCTAACTGATCATAGTTTTCAAGTGCATTTGCATTTTATATAAGAAACCCAAAAAAACAATATAAAAATAACTTCTACTACTACCATTGTTGCTGCTACTGCTACTACCATTACTACTACTACTACTAATACTATTATTACAGCTTACACGAGAAATAATACAACTTATTCAAAATATTCTACAAATTTTTACAGGCTTATTATGTATTTAACCTTAAAAATTGATAAACTTGATATATAATAAAAAATATTCCCATTTTATGCTATTTTTCTGAGTCTAGAGGTGCCTTTAACATTAACACCGAAAAGTATTTTATGTTTCTAATTGCATGTTTTAGAAAAAATTGGCATTGGACGTTATAGAAAATACGGTGTTGATTAAGTATAATTGTTCTTTTCACAAAACTCGTGCAATACGAGCTGAAATTGAACGAGCCGGGCAAATGCTATTTTTCTTACCACCATTTAGCCCGCACCTAAATCCGCTCGAAGTCTTCTCTAAATGGAAGAAACCAGTCAAAACAAGAAATAGGAAATCACACCTGATGACTGCAGGAAGTTTTACAATCACATGAATGATTTCGTGGATGAGGCGCTGTGCAGAGAACGGTTTGAATGAGGAAAAATGCGTTTATTCCCGACCCAATTTGTTATATTTCTAATAAGACAACTAAAACATGTTTAATTAGAAATGTTGTAAAATATTTTGGAAACAATATAAAATATTTTCACAAAGGTTGTAAAATTTCTTGGATAAGCTGTATTAAAACCTGTATTACTACTACTACTACTACTACTAATGTTATTATTAATATTATTATTACTGCTACTACTAATAATACTACTACTACTACTACTAAAGGTACTAGCAGTGGACATGGGCAGTCCACAGCGTTCGGCCACCACAGACGTCCACATCATTGTCAGAAACGTCAACGACGAGCCACCGATATTCTCACAACAACAATATGTATTTCATGTCAGAGAAAATCATCACATCAACAACATCAATAACATTAAGAACGATAACAACAACCTTAACTACACTACCGTTGACAACAATAATAACAATGGCATCCATTACAGCAACATAAACAACGACGGCAATTACGACACTAACAAGAACTATAACAACAACAATAATAGTAACAACAACAACATCAACAACAACAACAACAACAGAAAGAATAGTAATAACAATAAAAGCAATGACGGAATTACTGACCCTAGCGTGAAAAAGTTAACTTTAAAAATTAAAAAAAATGACAACAACAAATTAAAGCCACGTGACCAATCACCAGCAGCAACAACAACAACATCAACAACAACAACAACAACAGCAACAACTAACACAACCAATAATGCAAAAACAAACACTAAACTGAACGACAGATCGAAAACGAGAAAAATGAATAAACCTCTGGATAGGCAGACGAAAGGATGGGTGAATGGAGAAAAAGATAGGATGGATGAAAAAAACAATAAATGGATGAATGAAAGGAGTAATGGATGGATTGAGGAAAAAGAGATGGATGGATTGAAATCGGAAGTGTTGCAGCGACAGATGCGGATGGTCCACCATATGATTTGATTGAATACAGCATCGAAATCTGTCAGGTTGACGTCATCAATAACAATAAGAATAATAATAGTAACGACAACAACAACAATAATAACAACAACAATAATAATAATAATCATAATAGCAACAACAACAATAATTATTACTATTCTTACTGCATTAGCAAGCATGACAATGCATCAAACAAAATCAACAACTCAACACAGAACATTAACATAAATGATAACATTAATTTACACAACAGCAACAACAGTTATCATCTTAACAACAACGTTAAAAACATCAACAATCCTAACACCGCAACAAATCCAACATTTCACCAAGTTTCAAAATCCAAACTAACAACAATAATTTTACCGACAAACATACACGATATATTTGCCATCGATTCGAAAACCGGTTCGGTATCGGTAAAAATACCGCTGGATCGAGAAAACCGAGCCGAATATACGTTTCATGTAGTAGCGAGAGATGTGAGTGAGGGAATGGCTTCCAAGAATTTGATTGACAGAGCCCTGGTCATCGTTAAGGTTTGTTGTGAAGATGATGATGATGATGATGATGATTAGTGTTGCTTATAACTATTTTTATTGTTTATTATTATTATTGCCGATATGATAATGATGATGACGTTGATGATAATGATAAGGATGATTTTTATGATTAAAATTGTAACAATGGTGATACGATTACGAAGAGTTTGATTTTTTTATGAAAAAAATGATAATGATAACGATGATGATATTTTTCATCATCATTATCATCGTCACCATCGTCACCACCATTATCATCATAACAAATGTAACAATCATTATCATCGTCATCACCATTATCATATTGATTATCATCATCATCACCAGGTTGATGACGTGAACGATAACAGACCACGGTTCATTCATCCGAATCGCACCGACCACACAGTCGCCATCAACATTCACTCACTCACTCACCAACATGTCCTTTACAATGTACTCGCTCGCGATGATGATGATGATGATGACGGTGCTGGTGATAACGCAAGACTTGAATACACCATGCAACTCAGAAGCATCATCTATTTCGATCATCAGTGTGCTGCTGCTGATGATGATGACGATGATGAAAAAAATGATAACAACAATGATAATGATGATGATGATGAAGGTGATGATGATGATGATCTGGATGATGATGATAGCGAAATTGACGATAATTCAATGAACACCAAGGAAAATAAAATTATTAAAAAAGACTCTAAAGAAAAGCAGAGCAAACTCATTTTCGGGAATGACGACGGTGAAGATAGCAATGAGAATGATGATGATGATTATGATGATGATGATAGCGATGATGATGGAAATGATAATGATTTTGCTAATATTGGTAGAAATTTTGTTGACATTCTCCCTAAAAAGCGAAAAGAAAGCATCCAAACTCACTCATGCGGACATTACAACAACACCTCAAACATCAACAACATCAACAACAACAACATCAACAACAACAACAACAACAACATCAACAACAACAACAACATCAACAACATCAACGACATCAACAACAACATCAACAACATCAATACCAACAACAACAACAAAATGGCAAACGCAAACGACATTTTCAACTTTTTCAAACTGCACCGTACGTCGGGCGCTTTGTTTTTTGACGCGAACTACACACGCACTGACAAAAACCCGGAAGAACCTCAATTAATTAGGGATGTGCTGTACAGCAGCGATGTGCTGCAGCTACACAGCGCCGATAATATTCGTCGGATATTTAGTGGGGTGAAACAAATTGAATTAATTGTAAGCGCATCCGACGGCGGCAGTCCGAGGCTATCTTCCTCGCATCGTCTCGTCATAATATTCAATCACTCAGTTCATCACCAACAACCTGCAGCTATTTCCGGTTTACGCTGGATGACCGTTTCCGGTTGGATTGTGATTGTGGGAATGGTAATGATATTTCTCGCCGCCTCGCTGACGTTATCAGTTTTCATCGCATATAAAAAAAGGCGGTGCGTCGTTAAAAACCGTAGCAGCAGCAGCAGCAACGACAACCGCGACAATAAAATGTGCAACTCCTCCAATGCGGATAAATTAATTTTGAGAAAGGGTAGGAGGAAATTCAAAAAAAAAAAAAAGAAGAGTAGAAAGAGAAATAGTTTGAGTTTTTGCTCTAAAAGGAGTGGTCATTCTGATGACGATGGTGGTTGCGGTGGTGGTGATGTTGGTGGCGGGAATGTTGACGATGACGATGGCTTCTACATCAAACATCATCAGCACGTCGTTCTCGAAAATTATGATGACCTTCCTGTAGAATCGGAAACTCATGCCCAGCAACATCTACCACAACAACTACTGCAACAGCCCCAGCAGCTACAACAGCAACAACACAAAAAAAAACTTTATGATTCTAGTCAGCAAAATTATGTATTCAATAATTCGCAACATCAGAGCGTTCGAAACCAACAACAACTTTCCTCTAAGCAAACATTGTCTAACAAAAAACACACACTCTCCATGCTATCTTTTTCTCAACAACAACAACATCAACGACATCAACATCAACAACAACATCAACAAACTGATGTTGATTCTTTAAGTTTGGATGACTTGGTAATTGATGGCAATAATATTTGCAACAACGACAACAGAAACAATAACATCAACAGCAACAAAAGCAGCAACAACAACATTTGTTTCAATTTAAGTGCCTCAAAAACCAACAAAAATGACGTCATCAACGCAACAGACAACATTAACTTCAACATACCAGCCGTTATTAGCAACAATGTCAACAAAAACGTCGTCACCAACAACAACAACATAAACAATAACAACAACAAAATAAACAACAACATTGAAGTTACCGACAACGAACTCAACACAATATCAAACAATAAAGACATCGGAACATCACAATCTCCGCAATTCAGCATCATCACAAACGACAACAACAACAGAAACAACAACGTCAACGACAGTGCAA